AAAAAAAAAAAGCCACACTTAATTCTTTATATATTACACTCTAAACCCCTGTACTTAAAAACTGATAAGGTATGTTTTCAACACGTACACTTCAAACACAAAGGTTTCCATCTAGGTTAAAGAAAGCACATTTGAAAGGACTTGGAACGAGTTTATTTTCTGATTAAGCATCCATGCAGTCATGCAGGACCAGGACCCAGAGCTGTTACTTTGGAAGCCTCAGATACTGGGTACTGGGCAAAACAAAAAACAAACCAACAGCCTGGCCAAACAGAAAACATCCAGATAGTAAGAGCTCTGCAAGGGAGCTGAAAAATAATTTTCCAAAAGAAATATTTTCATAGATTTAAAAAAAAACACACACATAATATTTACAAAAAATATTTAATTAAAAATATCTTATAATTACAGTAGTCTATTAAAGCGCATATACTTTCTCACACTTATAGAACATCTCTATATATACAGGGTATGAAATGTCACTCACTTATCTATACAATATGTAACATTCTTGCAGGGAAAAACTTCCCTGCCCGGTTATAATCATCTATTTTAAACAATAGATGTAAAAATGCTCTGGTGTATTAGTAGAGAAAGCTTCAAAAACAAAAACAGTTCCCTCGTCACAATGTAACCTCGAAGGCTGCATTCACTATTGGTCTTCTACTTCGCAGTCCTGTCACACTTAAGCTTCAAAGTTTTAACTGCACCTCCAAGAGGGTGATAAAAACAACCACAGCAATGTACAATTCACAGCGGTTATAAGATTAGAAACAAAAGAGAATACGTACGGAGAACGCTTGTGAACGTGCAAAAAGTTAAAAGTGAATCAAAGTTTTAATATTATTTCCCCCTCTCTCCTGGAATGACGAGTTGAGACAAGGTTTCTATATACGCTGAAGATTTTCTTCCCCTTTCCTCCGGTGGGTTTTTCTCTATTTCTGCTCGGGCCCTCCCTCTCCGGGGCTCCTGGCTCGGCGGTGCTCAGGCGGCCGCACACCTGTGGAAGAGGAATGAATAGAGGGTGTGTGAACCTTCTCGCTGCAGACTAACTGGCGCCACCGACCAAACTCAAGACATGCATGATCAACAACCCAAAACAAACCGCCGGGTCGGACAACACCCCCAGCCCCGCCGAGCGCCGGGCAGGCGCCTGCGGGCTGGAGAAGGCGGCGGACGCGTTCGGGGCGCTCTGCCCGCACGCTCTTTGTGGGTGTCAGGCCGCTCTGCTGGGGACGAGGGGTGGGAGGAGGGGGGGAGGGCTCGGGACACTGGGGATGCCCCTTGGAGGGGCGGAGGGGACCGGCAGAGGCTGCCGTCCCGGGCAGAGGAAGCGGGCTGCGCCGAGTCTCCGCAGAGTGACCCCCGGGGTGGGAAGCTTCCCGGCGCTGCCTCGCTTACGGGGCGGCGGGGGAGGGGGGGGTGGGGGGGGGGGGGGGGGGGGGTCGGGGTGGCGGGGGGGGGGGGCGCGACCCCGGGGCCGGGCGCTCGCTCACCTGGCCAGCTCGGCTCAGCGGCACAGGATGCTGTCTCCCTGCTTGTTCACGGCGCCGGCCTGGAACGGCAAGCCGACCCCGAGGGGAGGTTAGCGTGCGCCGCCGCCGCCGCCCGGGAGCCGTCCCGGGAAACTCGGCCGGCGCGCGGGAGCCGTCCCCAGCCCAGACCACCCCGGGAGGCAGGGGACGGCCCGGAAGACGCGGGGCTCCCAGTCCCAACCGCCCGCCGAGCCCGGGACCGACCACCGCCGGGCCCGGCAGGCGGCTCCCGGCGGAGACCCCAGGAGCCGCGGCCGTTCCCCGGGAGGAGGAGGAGGAGGACCGACCACCCGCACCTCGCCGCCCCCTTCCCTCCCCCCCGCCGCCGAGGCTCCTCACCGGGTCGGTGTTGAGCGCCGTGAGCGGCGTCCGCGGCGGCGCCCCGGGACGGGTCCCCGCCGGGTGGAGCGGCGTCGCGGGCGGCGGAGGCGGCTGCGGCTGCGGCGGCGGCGGCGTCTGCCTCAGCAGAGCCGGGTGCGACTCCAGCGCCAGCTGCAGGTCCAGGATGTAGTCGATGACGTGCTGCAGGATCTCCACTTTGCTCACTTTCTTGTTGGGCGGGATGGTGGGCACCAGCCTGCGCAGGCGGCTGTAGCAGTCGTTCATATCGCACTGCAGGCACAGCGCCGGCTCGTCGGCCGCCGCCTCGGCCGCCTTGCAGCGCGCCGCCGCCGCCGCCGCCACCGCGGCCGCCGAGCCGCCCAGGCTGTGGCCGTGCTCCGCCAGGCAGCGCAGCGCCAGCTCCCCGCCGCCGCCGCAGCCCGACGGCGCCTTGCGGCCCGAGGGGCGCACCGGGCTCACCGCCTTCATCTCGCGCCTGCTGCGCCGCCCCGAGCGACGGGACCCCCGCCCGCCGTGCGCCCGGAGAGCCCCCGAACCCCAGCCACCGACGGGACGGCTGCTCGGGGTCCGCACGGGAGGAGCTCGGCTTTCGGTGAGCGACGCTCGGCCCGAGGCAAAAAGAGATAGGGGGATCGAGCGAGAAAAATCAGAAGCCTCGGGCGGAGGAGGAGAAAAAGTAGCCCACCCCGGCCCCCGAGCCGTCCCCTTCCGAGCTGCGACTGGGGCGGATCGCCGCCACCGCGCTCCCCTAGCCGGCGCCTCCTCCGCCTCCCGCCGCCTCCGAGTAACGACTTCCCACCGCGCCTCCCCGCTCAGCCGCGTCGCCCCGCTCGCGGCGCAGCGGTATTTGTAGGGCCGCGCGCCCCGAGGGGCGGGGCCGGCGCGCGGGCCGGGTCGCCACGAGCACCGGACGCGGTGGAGCGGGGCGCGCGGGCGGCGGCGCGGAGGGCGGGGGCGAGGGCGGGGCTCCGGGAGGCCCGAGCGCGGGGGTGGGCGGGGGCCTGGAGTGACCGGCCAATCAGGAGGCCGGTGTCACCCCGGGGGAACGGCGCTCCGGCCAATGGGAAGGGCACTTCATTCCGTCAACGCTGTGGGAGGGGGGAGCTGAGAAAACGAGGACCGGGGTGGGAGTCGGGCCAGGATGGAGAGCGCCCGAGGGAGGGGGAGAGAGGGAGAGAAGTTCCTGCGGAGAACTAGGGGAATGTGCGAGCTAGAGCGCGTTCTCCCGGGCCCTGGCTGCGGGGGGACTCTGCGCCTTGCTGGCGGGTCCCCTGTCACTCTTCAAAGCGGGAAGCTCAGCCCCAGGCCAGCGGTCCCTAGGATTCCGGGGACTTCAGAGGGACTCGCTTTCAAGAAGCACGCTAACCTCCTCAGTGTCATCAGTCATCTTTGCACAGTTGCGGAGCCCTTAGGACGGGATGAAATGGGTAGCCTTTCCATATGTGTGTCTGCACAGAGACGCAAGCTAAAGCTTAGTCAAAGGAAAAAATACATACAGGAAAAGAATGCCAGCAGCCGGATCCAACGCAGGATTTCTGATGAAGGGAAAAACACATAAAACAAGATACAAGATCGTGCTGGGTTTTTCTTGGACTTACCCAGATGCATAAGTGGGCTTAGGATATGCAATCCTTGGCGGGTGTTAAATTAGGGCACGCAAAAATTAAAAATGCACGGACACGGAGTGTTGTAAATTCCACCATGGCATATAATATTAATCTGATTTATGTAAAATTCATACCTCAACTTAATTTAATCCATTAATGCATAGCTCCATGTATTTCAGCGCACCTCGCTTTGAATGAGGAGGCAAGAATACTCCAGAAGCGTCCGTGAATGACTAGAAAAAGATTACCGGTCACATCTCCAGTCCCTTAGGTCCTGCTTGGGCCCCACCCTGCTACAAGGCCTGTTCCTTTAAGTGTGTGTGTGTGTGTGTGTGTGTGTGTGTGTGTGTGTGCTTTTTAACAGAAAAACAGTCCTCCAAGTATTCAAAAACAAGTGTTGCTTGTGTGTCCTCTTCAAGAAAAAAAAATTCGAACTCTTCAGATGGCAAATGAGCATAAAACTCACAGCTCACCGGAAATGAATTTTGAGTGCTTTCCCCTGCAAGCCCTCCCACCTTTAGACACGCTTGCAGATGAATTAACCCAAGAATTTTCTTCTTTTCCATACATGACACGGGCTGGTGCCTTCATTTTCATTGATAATTGAAAGAGATGTGGTCTTCACTTCTGGCCACCCCTGCACGGGCGTCATGCTCCTCCTTCTGCTTCTCAGAACTCCAGTACCCCTACAAGGCAGCTATTTTGTTTCGACATGCATGTACGTTGTGACTGTTTGGCCACCATTTTTCCGGAGTACATTCCTTTCTCCTGATGAAACTAGAATCTGACTATTAAATACCAGTTTCATAGATGGATACAACCATCTTCCTCTCTCCAAATCCTTAGAGGCTGCTGTCCCTAATTATTGGAAACAAATGACATTCTCTCCTTTGCTTTCATGCACAGACAGTCTCCATCCACACCCACTGAGAAAATCGGTCACAAAATGCAAAGTAGCATTCTCTCCCAAAGCCTTACACATTCTTAATATAAACACAGACAGGGGACAATATTATGATTTTAAATAGAAAGTTGGGGGAGGCAGTCCCAGTGGGCAAAAGCTGGTATATTTTTTATCTATTGTTATCACTACATTTGATACTGGAAACACATACATACATACATACATACTCACATACATACAGGTGTTCTATCATGTTCTTGAAAAACCCTCACTATATCCAGAGCACACACAATGTTTCAAAAATTTATCTAGGCTAACCTCACCAACAATAAGATTAAAGTTGTAAATATGTGCCAAGAACCACACCTGGTCTGTGCCAAGCATCAAGGTCAGGGCTTGTTGCAGGACAGGCCTTAAAGGTAGAAGTGTTGGGTTACCATGATGGAGCAGAGAGCTCAGGGGATCGATCTTCACCAGATGATGAAGAACACCTAGGAAAAATGTGATCCCCCAAACCCTGTCTATGGAGAAGGCCGAGGCAGCTATTGTATGCCTGGTTCTGAAGGTTAGAAGGCATGAAGACAATAAAAAATTAAAGTGCTACATAAATTGGTAAACAATGAGATTAAGGAATATGATATTGTGCTTTTAGGCCTATGAAACCAGAGCACACTAGAGTTCATGCAATGTATTCTTTTAATTCATAGACATAGATACTTAGATGACAGCAAAACCAAAGTTAAAAAAACAAAACAAAACTCTCTGTTCAGTAATTAAAATAATTTGGATTAACCTTGTAAACTGTGTCATTGCTACTGCTTCAAGTAAGAAACATAGCTTGCCTGTGATTGCTCCTTTTCCAGAAAAATGTTTTGCTCACACTTGTAAACATGATGTAGGCTAGCCCAAACTCATTGCCGTGGAAGTGCTAGAGACTCAGTGGAAACCCAGGGTGAAACAGTTCACTGACTATCAGGGAGCCTTGAAAATCAGGGACCCATACACACCTGCCCTCTAGATGGACAGATCTGCAGGGCTGTCTTGAGGGACATTCTCAGTGTGCTCGGACCCTTGCTGAACGCTTAGATTTCCAGGGCCCCTGTGTTTGCAGGGGCACCCAAACCTACTTCTGTGCTTAGCTCGTAAGCCCTGAGGACTCCAACCTTCCTCCTCCAAGGCCTGCAAGGGACCAGCAGGTGGGCTCAGACATACAGAAACACGTGTTCCCATGCCTCCCTTTCCTAGATGTTACAAGTCGTCACGGAAGGCAACACGTGCATTCTTTCAGGGCACCAGGAGACCGTTACAGAACGTTATATGAACTCTCTGGCTGGGATGTCCCTTGCTCCAAAAGAATGAGCTGGGAAATTACAGTTCAAGGCTGCTTTTTATCAGAGTCCTGCAAACTCACCTGAGCCAGGGTTACTGACGCGCATCCAGGAAACACCAGCCCTAGAAAGGAGGACCTTGGATATTAAACTCAGCTGGGCGGATGTGGTCATCAAAAATGCCTTATTTGGTAAAATTTTAAGTGATTAGGAGTAGGTGAATTTTCAAATGTATTTCTCATATTAAAGCCAGGGGGGAAACTGGGAAGGAAAAGGTAAAATTTACTGAAGCCTGACAGCCTGCACTCAATCTAAGCTTCTCAGCTTAATACTTTAATGTTCATGCATACTTGTAGAACTTTCATAATTCGTGGTTATGACACATACACTTCAGTAAATACATTCTGTGTGGTCTCTGCACAAGAAAAAAAAATTTGATTTAAGTCCTGAGGACTTTATCTGGCATTTAACAAGTGGGCAAAGTTAAAATTTATTGCTAACTTTGGCAAATATTATCTCCTAATCTCTGGTTTGTCTTTTTGTTCACTTACCAGTCTCTTTGGGGATCTGTTATTTATATTTTCATTTTAACAAGGTCAAGTTTATTCTCTTAGGGATCTGAGACATTTTTTTTTTTTTTCTAACATGAGGTAAGGAAGATTTTTCTCCTGTGTTTTCCTCTATGTGTTCAACACTTTCAGGCAGATCTGCTTTCATGGCATGTAACTTCTGAACACACGGAGGGCCATGTGATTGAAAGGGTCCCCTGAGAGCTCCAGCCCTCTTCTCCTGCCATCTTGAAATTCTTAGCAATGCTATTATTTTATTTGCGTTTGTTTCTGAGACTGGTCTCATACAGCCAAGGATGGCGTCACACTCGCTGTACGGCAGAGGCTGGTCTTAAGCTTCTTTTTCTCTTGCTAGGATTATAGCAATACCCCACCATGCCTGGCTGTTTTAGCAATATTTCAACAAGAGAAAGTGAGTTCTTGTTCTGTACTGGAGTCCACAAATTACATGATCGGTCATTGTTTTCTGCATCATATAAAAGTCTGTGATCTTTCTATTCCATACGTGGCACAGGATAATGGCTGAGGTCAGCATCTGATGTGTCATTCTAGCTGGAGAGACCATCCTTTGTTCCTGGCGTTGCCTGGACACCTTGCTCAAGTTAGCTGAAGACACACATTGTTGTACACCTAGCCTTGAAAATCTGTCCCACTGACCTATTTGTTTTTATCCCATAACCACAGTGTCTCGACCAGGGCAGCTTTCTAATAAGCCTGGAAAGGGCTAGTGTTTCATCATATGATCTGCTAATACATTTTGGGGTGTTGGCTGTCCTGGCTGGCTATGTTGCACTTCCATGTGACTTTTAGAGTCCACTTGTAAAGTTCTTCCCAAAAGAGTTGTATCAATGGAAGTAACTCAGAGCTAAGTAGAGCACTTACCTCTCATGAATGACACAGATGTGTGCGCATGCACACACACACATACACACACACACACACACACACACACACACACACACACACACACACA